CATGATGAACCATGTCCCCAGAAAGCTTTCTGGGGACACGGTTTGTTAGGGTGTGTTGGGGGGTCTCTTGGGCGTTCCCTGGGGGCCCCTTGGGGGCCTCCGGGGACTCTCGGGCCCATGATGAACCATGTCCCCAGAAGGTTTTCTGGGGACATGATTTCTTAGGGGTGTGTTGGGGGGCCTCTTGGGCGTTCCCTGGGAGCCCCTTGGGAGTCTCTTGGGGCTTCCTGGGCGCCTCTTGGGCGCCTCACGGGGCTTCGTGGGAGGCTCTTGGTGGCCTCCGGGGGCCTACAGGCGGCCTCCAGGGCCAGAGACCTCGAAATATCGGCTGGCGGTCCCCCTCTGGGCCCTCTCTTGGGGAGCTCTTGGGGCACAGCTGGGTTGTCTGGGAAGCCTCCTGGGCCTTCTTGGGGCCCTCTTCGGGGCCTCGTGGCCAGTCTTGGAGCGATCTGAAGGGCCTCCGAGCGAGGCCGTGATGGAGCGCTGGGAAGCGGGGAAAGCGAGAACGCCTAAATCCTTCAAAAGTCCTCGTCGGCTGTCTTGAGGGCAGCTTGGGCATCTTCGGAGCCTGTTGGGACCGTCTTGGGCCCTCTTGGGACCTCCATTAGCCTGTCGTGGCCTGCTTCGTGGCGGGCCCGGGCCGCCAATGGACCCCTCTGGGCCTTCTCATGGCGCGCTCTTGGGGCACACTTGGGTTGTCTGGGGAGCATCCTGGGCCGTCTTGGGGCCCTCGTCGGGGCCTCGTGGGCCTTCTTGGAGCGATCTGAAGGGTCTCCGAGGCCGTGAAGGGAGCGCTGGAAAGCAAGAAAAGCGAGAACGCCAAAATCCAAAACACTCGGAAAACGAGTGAATCTTGCCTTCCAGGGCCCTCTTGGGCAGCCTCTTGAGTCCGTCCTGGAGCGTGTTGGAGTCCTCGTCGGCTGTCTTGAAGGCATGTTGGGCGTCTTCGGGCCCTCGTGTGACCGTCTTGGGCCCTCTCGGGACCCTCTTAGCCTGTCGTGGCCTGCTTCGGGGCGGGCTCGGGCCGCCTCGTGAGCTCTGGACCCCCCCCCCCTCGCAACCCCTGGTGGGCACCGATGGGGGGAACAGGCAACGGCCCGCCCCCCCGCGGGCCTATTCCGAGATAGAGAATCATGTTCCCGGGAAGCTTTCCGGGAGCATGATTTGTTCGGCTCACTAAGAGGGGGGCCTCTGGGGGCTTACCGAGGAGCGCCTTTTGGCCTTGTCGGCAAGCCTATTGGAAACATGGTTGGGGCGGTGGGCGGAAGCCCAAGGAATCATGTTCCCGGAAAGCTATCTGGGAAATACGATTTACCAAAATATCTTGGGGGCCCGCAGGGGCCTTCCCTGGGGACCTGTCCTAGGACCCTAGGAGCCTCTCAGGCCGGAGACCTTGAAATGTCGCGCTCTTCGGGCCCTTTGGGTCGCTCTTGGGGCTCTCTTGGGGCGCTCTCGAGGCCCTCTTGACTTATCTGGGGAACCTCCTGAGCCGTCTCTGGGCTTTCTTGGGAGCCTCTTCGGCCGTCTTAGAGCGATCTGAAGGGCCTCTGACGCGGTCCGAGACCGTGGGGAGGCGGAACATGGGAGAGCGCAAGAATGCTTCAAAAACCATTGGAAAATACATATGTTTCGGCTTCTGGGGCCCTTATAGGAGGGGCCTCTGGAGGCGCTCTTGGGGCGTTTTGGCGGCGTCGTCGGCCGTCCTGAGGTCATCTTCGGCATGTCCGGAGCCTCTGGAGGCTGCCTGTAGGCGTCCTGGGATCCCGGAAATCATGTTCCCGGAGAGGCTTCTGGAAACATAATTTCGAACGAGGCCCTCTTGGGCCTCCCTGAGGCCGTCTTGGTGGCCTCCTGGGCTGGCTTTGGGGCCTCTTGGGCCGTCTTGGGGGGCTCTGTCAGTCCCACAAGACAACCCTTTTGGGCCGTCTTGGGCCCTCTTGGGTCTCTCTTGGGCTGTCTTGGGGCTCCTCGGGGGCGCCTGGGGCACTGCGAAGACGAAGCAAGGGAGTTTGCTGAATATGTACGGTTTACTGCGGGGACGGGCTGATTTTTGTATCTTGAAGACCCTCTTGGGGCCCACTTCGGCCATCTTCAAGCCATCTCGGGCCCTCTTGGGCCTCGCTGAGGCTGTCCTGGGGCCCAGTAGGGGGCCCTGGGAGCCTGGAAGTCATGTTCCCGGAGAGGCTTCCGGGACCATGACTTCGAACGGGGCCCTCCTGGGCCTCCCTGAGGCCGTCTTGGGGGCCTCCTGGGCCGGCTTCGAAGCCTCTTGGGCCGTCTGGGGGGGGTCCGTGAGCCCCACAGGCCGACCCTTTTGGGTCGTTTGGACCCTCTTAGGTCTCTCTTGAGCTGTCTTGGGGCTCCGCGGGGGCGTCTGGGGCAGTGTGAAGACGAAGCCAGCGAGTATGCCGAAAACGCACGTTTTACGAAAGGAATGGGCTGATGTTTGCATCGTGAAGGCCCTCTCGGGGCCCTCTTATCTTCGGCCATCTTCAAGCCATATCGGGCCCTCAGGGGCCTCGCTGAGGCTGTCCTGGGGCTCAGTAGGGGGCCTGGCCTGGGAACCCGGAATCATGTTCCCGGAGAGGCTTCCGGGAACATGATTTCGAACGGGGCCCTCTTGGGCCTCCCTGAGGCCGTCCTGGGGGCCTCCTGGGCCAACTTCGGGGCCTCTTGGGCCGTCTGGGGGGGGGTTCCGTGAGCCCCACAGGCCGACCCTTTTGGGTCGTTTGGGCCCTCTTGGGTCTCTCTTGGGCTGTCTTGGGGCTCCGCGGGGGCGTCTGGGGCAGTGTGAAGACGAAGCCAGCGAGTATGCCGAAAATGCACGTCTTACGAAGGAAATGGGCCAATGTTTGCCTCTTGAAGGCCCTCTTGGGGCCCTCACGGGCCCTCTTGGGGCGCGTTTGGGCGTCTTCGGGGCCTCTTCAGGCTTTCGTGACCATCTGTACGGCCTGCGTGGCGGCTTTTTTCGGCGAGGGGGCCACGGTCCTCGCGAGGGGTGCCAAAAAAATAGCCCGGGGGGGCCCCCATGGCGACCAGAGGCACCAGCCGGCCCCCCCCCGGCCTACTCCGATGTGTGTGTGTATATATATATATATATATAACTACACACATACACGTGTGCTTGTATATGTTAGCCAGTGTGGGCCCCACACCACACAGTTGGCCATTACACTATGGACGTGATAACGAAGCGGTGCAAGTATGCAATGTAAGCCATATGGTGCGAGATCTGGAGGTGGACGCTGTGTGATGTAAGGTTTGCAGTGCAAGCTATGTCGAGTAATATATGTGGTGTAAGCTGGATGTTCAAGCTATGCAGTGCAAACTGAGGGTGCAAGCTAGTTTGTGCAAGCTGTGCAGCGGCAACCGTGCGGTTCACGCTACGGTCAGGAGCTGCTGCTTAGCGTGTCGCGGCGACAGCACCGGGGACCCCTGCAACTGGATGACGTGTCGCCCCGCTCGGCGGGGCGGGAGGGTGAGAAAGGTCAGGGACGTTGACGCGTGGGGACCAGGACGTGTTTAGCGTGTCGCGCCGAAGCGCGGTGGGCCCAAACTGGCGGCGCGACACGCTAAGCTAAAGTTCCGGACCGTATGTCGTCTGAGCTATGTGCTACAAGGTATGAGGCGTAAGCTCAGCGCGCGGGGCACCAACGAGCGCCCACGAGGCGGCCCAGGCGGACCCATCCAGCGCACGGGGCGCGCACGAGCGCCCTCGAGGCGGCACGGGCGGCAACTTGGCAGCATCCTCGGCGACTCCACCCAGCGCACGGGGCGCCCACAAGCGCCCCCTTGGCGGCAATGGGGCGGCAACGTGAAAAATGCTCAAAAGAAGGAAGTGAAAACACCTAAGTGAGAGCCCTGCTCGGGGACCCTATACATACATAGAGCCCCCTATTTACCTTCCTCCTCCCCATCCGCCTCGTTCCTCCTTCTCCCCGCGTCTCCGTATTCCTCTTCGTCCTCCTCCTCCCATCCCTGCTCCTCCTCGAGATCATGCACGTACTCATTATGGTATTCCCTCTACTTCCTGACTCCCTTGCCTTCCTCACGACATCTCACCCTTCTCTCTCACCCCGTCTCTCCGCGCCCTCCTCTACACGTCCCCTCCCCCATTCCCCTCATCCTCCACAAAGCCCGCATTCTAGTCAATACACCTCATCTAGAAAAGCGCGGTTCCTCGGGAATGCCGCGATGCTGTGGTGCATGCGGTACTGCACCTGGTGGGGTATTTCTCTCTCTCGCCAGATGAGGAGAGACAATATCAAAACGATCATCGTAGACTGACAATTCACAGATTCCATTCCTTTCCAAAATCCCTGTGCAACGATATGTACATGACGTTGTAGGTTTCCACGACGACATCCTCTGCGCAACCTCTGGAGGAAAACAAATGGCAAACAAATACGTGTCCCGGGGAAGGGATGCTCCCTAGACGAACGGCGGAACCGCACGTCGTAATAACACAAATGTGCAAATCATCAGACATGTGCGCATGGATCTTACGGCACTGCAGCGAACGATGCCTGGAATGGTGAAGGTCCCATTGACGCGCCGAGGAGTCACGACTTCTGGGAGGGCTGATGCTGTAACACCTGCCAGGAGCAGACTACCTGTCAGGCTGGAAAGGCTGGAAAAAGCCATCACACCATAATGCCACAGCCCCGCCCCATGAAGCAGGCCTGGGATGGTTGGATCTGTGGTGTGCAACGTATTCAAATACAGCCCCGTCGTGTACCCGAAAATTACACAATGAAACAGAACCGACCTCCATCCGTAGAACCCATAGTGTTATTTGTTTGATGAATAAAATGGAATAAACGAGGGCCACATGCGTCCACAAGAGGTTACAATTTCGAAGAGCGGCAATCCGCACTCCGCCCGTGATAATGTATGTTGGACAGCTTATTCCCCTGGGACCACATATTATGAAGGTGCATCGAACGAGAACTCGGCTGTGACAGCTTGCCGCCTTCCATTCATGCAAATGTTTTTTTTTTTGAGCGAACACCCTGCCACGGCCAGCCCCGAGCGCCCCGCGTGCGCGCCACGGCAGCTTCGAGGACTCGGGTCCCCGAAGGGGCCCCGCGCAGCGCGCGCCGCGCGCGCAGCGCGCGCCGCGCGGGCGCCGCGCGCGGAGAGCACGCGCGGGAGGCGCGGGGCCGCGGGGCCCCCGAGACTCGCTGAGGCGGCCCGCGCCGCGGGGTGGGACATGGGGAGGACGGGCGGCGGGGGGCGAGAAGGAGAACGAGAACGTCGGTTCAAAGTGAGACGAGCGAGAGCGAGAATGACAGAGACCGCAAGCAAACTCACGCGGCACTACACGAAGGAGAACGGGACTGTGCGACACCAGGTCACCACCGCCCGCCGCCAAACTCAGCCCAATGCCTTTTTCATCTTGTCCTCGAAGCTCGTCATACTATCTCTAACGATAGTCATGTTCTCCTGCAACCCACGGCCGAGCTCCTTGACGGCCGTGTTGGTCGTCTCGAGGAGCTTCTGAAGCTCGTCCTGCTGCTTCTCCAGGGCAGCCAGTCGCGCTGCGAAGGAGGCGCTCTGCTGGTGGATGGCCTGCAGGGACCGCAGCCGGGCGACTATCGTCGGCAGCGAGTCGGCCGTGGCACTCCACCGGTGGCAAAACTCGTACAGCTCGGAGACCTTGCGGTCTAGATCTCGGTCTCCACTTCCACCTTGCAGCTCTTCCTTCTTCTTCAGCGCTTTCTCAATATCGCTGGACACCTTGTCGACACCCGTTCTGATGCTGTCGAGCTTCTTGCTGTCCAGCAGGGACACCCGCTTCTGCAGCAGGGTCACGGCGCTCTGCAGGTCCGAGAAGGGGCATGACGGGTCGAGCACGCCGAGCTGCTTCTCGATGTCCGCAATGCTGCTCTCCAGGGCCGCGATCTTGGAGCTCTCCACAATTGCCGCGGTACTCGGGGCATAGCTGAGCTCGTAGGTGACGCGCCCGTCCCCGCTGCCGCCGGAGGCCGCGGGAGGCGCACTGCCCGTAGCGAGCTTCTGCAGCTGGCTCACGAGCGACCCAGACATTGGGCTGATGCCGACGACCTGCTCGCCGTCGCCCTCAGCCTGACGCCAAGACGCTGGTGCGTCGCGCGCCAAGCCGCCCAGGCGCTGCTCCAGCACCTTGAGCTCGGCACTCATCGCAGCAGGGTCGATGCCTAACTGGTCGGCCGCCTCCTCCGGGCTGCCCGAGGCGGCGGAGCCCTCGGCCAACTGCAAGAGCTCCGCGACCTCGGCCTGGAGGCGGACGAGCCGCTGCTCTGGCGGCTCGAACTTCTGCGCCGCTGGCTTGGACCCGAAGGCCTCGTAGTCCCTGCGGCGGGGCCTGCCCCCTCGGGCCCCGCTCTCCGCGGCGGCCTCCACCGCACCGGCCTCCCGCCGGGCAAAGGCGTCGAAGGCCTCTCTGGCGGGCGTGGCGGAGCTGTCCACGTCCTCGCTCTTGGCCGCCGCCCCCGGCCCCGCCGCGGCCCGGCCGCCTGCCCCAGAGGCCTGCGCGACCGGGCTCTGCGGCGGGTTGAACTCGAACACCACCTCCTCCCTCTCGCGCCCACTCCCGAGCACACCGGCGCCCAGCATCGCGGCAGGGCCGGCCCCGCGGCCCCAGGCGCCTAGTGCCCTCGATACCCTTGAGCCAAAATGGCTACGGACCTTCCATTCCATTCATGCAAATGTTGGACGGTTACGCACAAGGTCACACTTTCGAACAACAATCTTAGGACGGACATCCATCCATGCAACCATTGAGAAAACAATGTAACGTACTAGCACGTATGGTGATGCAGAGACCAGCGTTCGACATGTCACATCACGAACGCGGTGTCACTTGCTCGCACGAAACATGCGGATTCGATACGCGTGTCGTGAATAAGCTGCCCTGCGTTCTTTACGAAGGAACGCAAACGCAGGGCCCCAGCAAGGGGGAAGGGGTGGTCCCCTCTTAGCTGCCCCCCCCTCCTGGACCTCCCCTGCCCGAGCCCTTCCCCCCTCACCTTTTTTTCCGTTCCGCCCCCCCCCCCCCTTCCTGTCTTTCCGCGTTCCGTAAACTGCCCCCCTACCCCCTTTCCAAAAGGGGGGGGGCTTGGCTACCCCCCAACTTCGAGCTCCCCCCTTCCGGACACCCCACGCATTCCCCTTTTTTTCTGCCGCCCCGCGGTAGCTCCCCCACATCCGCGCTCCAGAAAATACCCCCCCTCTCCTCTTTTCCGAGAAGGGCGGGGTTGACTCTAGCTAGCCCCCCCCCTCTTTGGACCCACCCCGCTGGCAGACCTCCCCTGGTTGGCTAAAAGAAGGGTGCTTGGACCCCCCCAACAGGAAAAGAACAGCAGAGGGGCCTAACAGTTCACGCGACAACAACAATGAAACAGCGAAGTACGAAGCGGACGCAGGATAAGGAAAGAGGGTGGCGGTCATCTTCGAGTGGCAGCTGTATGAGCAGCGCGGCTTTCGCTTCATTGTTCTGGCGTTCCACAGGGTAAGCTGTTCATAGCTAGTGCAGGAAAGGAACGTGGCCGACCTCGCCCACCAGGTCTCCCGCTTCCTTCCTGCATCGTGCAGCGCCGGATGTAAACGCCAGATAAAAAACGCCTTGCCATCCTGGCGTGGATACAGGCCGCGCTGAGGGATCACCCCCTGCGCACCTCCTTTGTCGTCGAGGAATTACCACGCCTGCCGCGCCTGCGACCCTGGCGTGGATTTACGCGGCGTGGATGGAGAACGCGCTGAAGGACCACCCCTTGCGACACCCCCTGTTGTGTCGACACACTGCCACGCCTGCCACGAGCTGCGACCCTGGCGTGGATAGAGGCCGCGCCGAAAGACCACCCTCTGCGCACCCCGTGGTGTCGACATAATTCCACGCCTGCGACGTCCTGCGACCCTGGTGTGGATAGAAGCCTCGCTGACAACCCCCCCCCCCTGGCGCACCCCCTGTGGTGTCGACAAAATGCCACGTGCGCCACGCTGTGCGTTCCAGAAACGGATAGGGGTCTGCGCACCCCTCGTGGTGTCGAAGATGTGCCACGACTGCCACGCTTTGCGAGCTCGAAACGGATAGGGGGACCACCCCAAGCGCACCTCCTCGTGTGGCCTCGAGGAAGTGCCACGCCTGCCACGTTTTGCGAGCCCAAAACGGATAGGGGGGCCACCCCCATCGCACCCCCTGTGGCGTCGAGGAAGTGCCACGCCTGCCACGCGCTGCGAGCCCGAAACGGATAGGCGACCCCCCCCAGCGCCCACCTTGTAGTGTCAAAAAAACACCTGCGACGTGTTGCGAGCCTGGTCGCGTATGCGTTGCATGCGTCTGGTGTGTGTGTGTGTGTGTGTGTGTGTGTGTGTGTGTGTGTGTGTGTGTGTGTGTGTGTGTGTGCGCGTGTGATGCGTGAAGAGGAAAGACATATGTGCGACTGCCTGTCGACGCGTGGTTCACGTAGGTGCCGTGTATGTGTTGCGCGCGGGTGAGGGGGAGAAAGAACAGGAAGAGGGGAGGGAAGGAGGAGGAACAAACGACGCGGGGGATCGCAATTGAACAGGAAAAGGGGACATAGGGGAGGTGAGGTGCGAGTTTCGCGGGTAGGACGCGGGTGGGAAGAAAACGATCACCCTACCAAGCACGATGGGAATTACATGACAGTTGAAATAGCGAGAATGTACATCGCATAAATAACACCATTAAACACAATTAAATACATTCTGATACACATCATACAACGCAATGGTCACCACGCGGCGCGACAGCGACTGAACAAGGGCAGCGCGGTGGATGTAGGGACGTCGGCAAGCCAAGCTTCGAAATCGCAGTAAAACCATGCCAAATTTGCACCAAATACGCGGCCTCGTTGAGCGCAACGGTTGAAGCGGCCCTAAAGGGGAAGATGCCGGCCGTGGGGCCCCCCATCATGCAGCCCGCGCGGTCGTCGGCGGAAGCAACCAGGCTCCCGCGCTCGCAGACGCAGACTCGTTGAGGCGCCCCCTCGCCGCCCCCGCCCCCTACCCCATTGGCGGTCGCAACCGGCGCCGGGGTGGCCGGCCCTTCGGCGGCAAACGCCTAAATTGCGCGGGCGCGGCCTCCGCGGACGCGGGACCCAGGCAGAGCCGCCGGGCCGCGACTGCTGCGCGCCGCGTGGCTGAGCAGAACAAGCGCGCCACTTTCAACGCGTCTGTGGCGCCGCCAACGCGGTCGGGTGGCGCGATGCCCCAATCTGGCGCGCAGCAGCTGTTGGACGTCGGAGGCCACGGCAAGAACGGCCAGGCACGCGCGCGCGCAAGCGCGCGCGCGCCTTTTCCGCGCCCGAACGTTTACGCGCGAGTGGGCCCGCTCCATCGCCCGCGGGACACGCTGGCGCAAAGTGTCAGGAACGTGCGTTGGTGCGCCGACGCCACAAGATGGGGGGAGGGGCTGGCATACCTGAGCGACAAGTAGCGACAAGTGCACGCAAGCGCGTGCTGCAACATCTGCGGACCGCTGGGGCACTCAACTGGCAGGCCTGGCAGCTCTGTCCGATGCTATCCGAATTGCGGGTCTCCACCTGGCCCCCGCCACGCCCCCACCTCACCCGACCCCCGCGCCGTCCTGGTACCTTTGTTCTTGGGCCACCCCGCCCGGTCAGCCAAAGAACAAACCAAATCCAAACCAAACAGCCACGCAGGCAGTAATGAAGTTTTCGCTCAGAAGGAAGACGGAGACACGCGAAAATCAGGAGAAGGCTTTCTCGATAAGGACCTGTAAGCATGTTAGAACGATGGGGGGCACAAGGGCATCGAGGACCAAAACGAAGTCGACGAGAAGGAGGATGACAGAGTGGATGCGGAGGAAGCCAGCGTTTCGAAGGAAAACGAAAAGCATGGAGGAGCGGTAGCCCCCCGCTCCAACTGCACCTCAGACGCATATCCTCTCCAATCCATGCCTCCCGGAGTCGTTCTCATCCGAATCCTAACATCTCCTTCGTGCGATGCTACGGTGTATCTCATATCTCCCCGTCGTCCGATCAGCCTCATGCGCGCCGCCTGAACAAACAGAGTTCGCATGACCCTCATCACCGTCATCATATTAACTCAGATGCATCTCTGCCAGGCCCAGCTGAAGGACACTCTGAGAACCCCCACGGGCCATAGGCTAAACGGCTCAAATTTTCTCCTCCAATGCGAGGAAGCGCACGGCGGGAGGCAGCGGCCGCCCAGCCGGCGACAAGGAGCAAACAACTGTCAGCGATTCGTTGAGAGGCTGCCCTGCAGAAGAAAAAGCAAAAGCGACGGAACTGGGGAGGGGGGAGTTCGAGCCGTAAGCGTGCGGCAGAGAAAAGGGGAATGCAAGCATCACGTCCTGAAGACTACTAGCTTGCTAATTTAGATGCATCTCTGCCGGGCCCAGATGAAAGACACTTTGAAGGCGCCCGCGTGCTTGGGGCCACGCGGCCCCAACTTTGCCCCCCAGCGCAAGGAAGCGCGAGGCGGGGGGCAGCGGCCGCCCAGCCGGCGACGAGATGCAACGGAAACTGTCAGCGATTCGCTGAGAGGCTGCCCGTGCCCGCAGAAGAGCAATGGCCGCAACGCCGCGTCACATATGAAATCGATCACGCTGAACAAAAGTGCGATCGCGATCAACAGCAGTGTTCAGAACTTCCAGAACTGATGCGAGCGCACGGCAAAGCGGGGCACGGCACGGACAGGCAATGGGAGTCCAACGGCGATTGCTGCCCCCCCCCCCCATACAACCCCCCCCCCCCCCCCCCTGCAAGTTCGAGGCGCGGGCGGCCTGCCGGGGACAGGCTGGCGTCGGCGGGCCAGCATCTCGCGCTCTGCACCAAAATGCCAGAAAACTACACTGGCTCGCTTGCGCAAGGGCATGTCAAGCTGGCAATAGTCAAATGCTATCGGCTTACAAGACCCATGCGATAACAACCCCATTAGAGCTGAAAGTTGCCAAAGAACGGAAGTAAAAGGGATCTCAATGGCGACGGGGCAGTTGCGCCGAATGCAAAGGCGGACTATATTCATAGCAAAGTCGAGCAGCTGATTGCCAGCGCCCACTGCCGACACATCCTTAGAGGAGAGGCCGGAAAAGCCAAGGGGGAAAGAGGGGGAACGGAGCGGTGGGCGACGGGCGGCAGAGAAAGTAGCGCAAGGGGTGGCCAGCGCAAATGCACGCGCTGCTTTGGCCAAGATCCAGCCGCGGATGTGTCGGGCCAACACAGGGCTTAGATGGATCTCTGCTGCGTGCTGGGCAATGACTAAACCCAGAGCACTGCGGCCTCGCTTTCTCAGCTGGCGAATCAAACGTGCGCTGCCACAAAGTGTTCGAGAAACACACAGCGGCGAGAAGCTGGGCCGCGCTGAACTGCGCGATGGAGGACCTGAGTCAGGTGGCGCTCAATGTCATCAGGACGGGCCGCCAAGCGCAGCGCGTGGCCGGCACGTCGCAGCAGGCGCTGCAGGTCGATCGGGGCCTGGGGCCGCACTCCGCTGCCCGCCGCGCCCTTTTCCACGAGCTCGACGCGACCAGCTCTGCGAACCTCAGCGCGTGGCCCGGAACCATATCGAGCTGAGTCAAGACCCGCGTCTCCTTCTCAGGGAACTTGAGGGGCTGCGAGCTGGCCTGGCGCTCGCGCCTCTGCGCGGCCCCGACAGACCCCCGCTTTCGAAGTAGGTCGCCCGAGGCCCCTCAGTGGCGGAGCGACTAAGGAGATGCGGGTCCATGGGGCCGAGGCCCAACA